TAACAAATTTTCAACTCCTTTTCTTACTAACCAAACAAATATATATAGACCCCATTCACAATTAACAAACCCACACATTGCTATAAAAATTGGTTCAAGTAATTGAAGCATGTTATTAACTACTAGCCAGTCATCATCTTGTAAGTATAAAGAAGAAAGGTCTCTATTTTTAACAACAAAAATATCTAATATGTCTCGTATTTGAAGAAATTTTTTTAGCATTTTATAGGTGCTGTTTCATCTTGTTTCTACATCCAAATCAGGTTTTAATTCAGCCACATTTTCTTGATTGTAAATTTTTTTTAAAGAATCACTAAGCTTTGTTGAATTTCTAATTTTTATTACAAAATCCCTGACTTTTTTTATAACTGGAGATGCTAACTGCAACCCATGTTGTACAGCAATGTTAAGTATATGCACGGCACATTGTTGATGAACTAATTCGTAATTATTTAAACTTTGTTTAAGTTCTCATCTAGCAGCTATTATAGATTGTGCATTATCTGTTGTAATACCTAACAACTTATTAGTAATTTTAGCATTATCTAACACTTGCATAATAGCTCGTTGAATGTTTATAGCAGTATGTTGCCCAGTAAGAGGAAGAAGATCAAGTAAAAAATATCGTAGTTGCCATTCACTATTAATAAAATGAACTGTAATACCAAGATACGATTGCATTGTAATAGAACTCCAAATATCACACGTGATTGATACTTTTTTAAGCTTTTCAAGTTCTTCTAAAATTATTTTGTGCATACTATTATATTTATTTAAAATTTCAGCTCATATAGTTTGTTGGCAAGGTATTAAATACCGAGTATCAAATGTATTTAACATAGTAATAAAGTAAGGATTATCAACAATAGAAAAAGGAAGCTGACAACAAACTATAAATTCTACAATTTTATCTGTAAGTTGTAGATGTTTTTGATCTGTTCTTGAATACGGTTTACCTACAAATTTATCAAGAGTACTTTGTCGATTACCAACCAGATTATTATATTTGTTATATAAATGTTTAGCAAGAGTTCCTGGTGTATTGGTTGGCTTATATTTAAGGCGGCATATAGTACAAATAAATGATTTAAGTTCATTTCTAGTGTTATATTCTTTTGAAAAATGTTCCCAAACCCAAGAAGCCTCTCGTAAATTAAGTGAAACTGTGTTAAGTTCAGTTTCTTCACTAGTATTTGTTAATTCATTAGTTTGTTTGGTTGTTATACTTTCTGCTAAATCAGCATCATCAGTTTCGAAACTATCAGTTCGCAAATTATCATATTGAATATCTAATTCTGACATATTTATTGTGAAATAAAATTTGCTCTGTGATTATAGAAGATGATGGTGTAATAATAAATGCATTTTCAAGAAGGAAGTTGTCTATTATTTCTTTACAAGATAGTAAAATTGGAGAATTATAAATAAGAACTCAACAAATCTCATTATGTATTTATATTATTAAAATAATTTCATTTTAATAAAGAAAATTTAGAACATTATACAATTATATGCACAACTAAATTTCTAACTACAGAAAGGATAGATTAAACATATTAAGCGTCGGGTATTGATAATTATGCATTGAATACATATTTGAGCATTACTACGAAATATTATAAAAAACTTATACATATATCTGTACTTCTAAAATAAAAATAGAAGTGCTGCAAACAAAAATCTGTATGTAGTTGTGTGCCCAAAATAATGAATTCCATCACATTATTTAAATTTGTACTTACAGTTTCTCTTGATAACCTCATTTACAGAAATTTTCTTGTGATTTGATCTGTACAAACCACATTAAGACCTTATATTTTAAATAACATGTTTTCAAATATATAAAAAACTTGATACATACCGCATAGTTATCATCATGCTTAATCAGAAATGGAATCAACACCCCAAGTATTATTTTTTTTGTATCAGTATTGTTAGAATATAATTCTATAAAAAGAAATATCACGAATAATCAAGCTTTTACAGAAAACAGAACAATTATGAAGTTTTTAAATATTATCTCATACTTGATATCGAAATTTGAATGATGCATTTTTGGAATTTGGCTTTAGACTTTGACATTAGTCACGATGATGAATGATGTGTAATATTTATATTTTGGGTAATTTGGCATAAGCAAAAATGAAAACTTAGAGTAAAAATATGAATGATGTATCAGCTGCTTACGCAACTAATATATTAGTCACACTTTCACTGTAAATTTTCTTATACCAAATTACCCAGAAGATGCTTGATTTTTTTTT